GCAGGCAGAATGTGACGTAATCAAAATTGACATCCAGTGCTGGGTTCAAGGAGATGTTGTACTGGAGTGTGTGCATATGGATTTAGATCCAGAACGAGAGGTTATGATGTTTCGTGTGATGTTCAATACTGCATTTATCAGGTCCAACATACTAATGTTGAACTCTGACAACTTGGATATTCTTTGGGAAGCCAAGGATCATTACCCAAAAGGGTTTCGAGCAGAGGTATGTACCTTTATATCCATTTCTTTTGATTTCTTATGAATGTAATTGTGTTGGATATGAGAAAATGTGGGTGCAGAAAGGTTCAAAACATACAAAATGACTAACCTTACATGGGTGGATAAAGATAGTCCATACTCATGCTAAGCTACACTTGTGCTTGTTCCTGACTCCATTCTTTATGCATTCAGGTCTTGTTTGGAGAAGTTGAGAATGCCTCGCCTCAGAAAGTTCCCACCCCAATAGTAAATGGTGATGAGACTGGTGGATTGCCATTGAAGCTTTCTAGAGTCAAGAACTTTTAGCGGTGTGGATTTGGCTGAGAATGGAGATGATGCTGCTTTGTGGTTGCTAAAACAACTTGCTGCCATAAATGATGCGAAAGAGTTTTCAAGATTTCGGCACAAAGGGAGTTTTTATTTTAATTCTCCTGACTCTGAAGAGGAGACAAACACATCTAGTGCTGCTGATAGTTCAGATGAAGGCTTTGATGCCATTCAGAGACCTCATATTCGTATACCTTTTGATAACGATGAAACAGACGACATTACTTTGTCTGTCACTCATGAATCTTTAGAGGAGCCTCATGAATTCTCTTGTCACCAACATCATGAAGTTCCAGCAAAAGACAGTGTCGACCCATTGACTCTTCCATCAGATCCACCATCTTCTGTTGTTCATGTCACACTTCTGCCTCCACCGCCACCGCCACTTCCTCCCCCTCATTTTATGAGCACAACCTCATTTTCACCCCCACCACCACCCCCACCCCCGCCACCTCTCCCTAGTTTCAGCAATAGAGATCCTTTGACAACATCGCATCAGCCTACCAACAAAATCCCTCCACCACCACCTCCTCCTCCTCCGCCACCTCCTTTTAAAAGCATCCCTCCGCCATTAGCTCAACCACCACCACCACGTCCTCCTCCTCCTCCTCCTCCTCCTCCGCCACCTTCTTCTAGAAGCATTCCTCCACCCTCAGCACCACCGCCACCACCGCCACCTTCGTTTGGGAACACACGAAATAAGCTTCAGGCGCAGCTACCTCCGCCTCCGCCTCCACCTCCTCCTCCAATCCAAGCAACTCCTGCTGCTAAATGTCCACCACCACCACCACCCCCGCCTCCACCTACATCTCATTCTGGTTCTATTCGTGTTGGCCCACCTTCGGCACCACCACCACCACCACCTCCTCCTCCTAAAGCTAATATTTCAAATGCCCCCAAGCCTCCACCCCCTCCGCCACTTCCTCCTTCATCTACAAGGTTTGGTGCTCCCCCTCCACCTCCACCACCACCACCACTATCCAAGACCCCTACTCCGCCTCCACCACCTCTATCCAAGACCCCTGTTCCTCCTCCTCCACCAGGGCTGGGTCGTGGTACAAGTAGTGGCCCACCACCACTGGGAGCTAAAGGTTCAAATGCACCACCACCACCTCCTCCTGCAGGAAGGGGCAGAGCTTCCTCGGGACTTGGAAGAGGCCGAGGCGTGAGTGTTCCTACTGCTGCACCTAAGAAAACCGTGTTAAAACCTTTGCATTGGTCTAAAGTTACTCGGGCAGCAAAAGGTAGTTTGTGGGCTGATACTCAGAAACAGGAAAATCAACCACGGTGGGTTTCTCTTTGTGTTGTTCCTTCTTTTAGATGTTTTAGCTTGACATTCATGGTTTCCGAATTGATAATAATTATGAAACAAAAGTGAACCGCGAACTACAGTTCTGTCTTGCGATTTTATTTGTTTCCCATAAGGTGCTATTTTTGTTGAACTAATCCGATGAATTTTACGAATCTTCATGACAGGGCCCCTGAAATAGATATATCAGAGCTCGAGAGTCTTTTTTCTGCAGTTTCAGATACCACAGCTAAGAAGAGCACAGGTCGCCGGGGTTCTAGTATCAGCAAACCTGAGAAAGTTCAATTGGTGAGGCAACTCAATTTCACCTCTGTACACATATAACATTTATTATATATAAATGACAGTTTTGTAAACCAAATGTTACCAAGAGTGGATATATTAAGCAGGTATCACCTACAGCTACATAGTGTACATTAACCAGATGATTATTTGATGATCTAAGGTTAACTTTGGCTGATAGAAGAAGTTGAAAATTGATAGACATTGCAAATATCATTTATTTCCTCAAATGGATACTCTATAACTATAATAAATGATTACGTTCTTGCCTCTTAGTTTGCTTATCTTTTAGTTCTAACCTTTTTTTCTGTGTTTGTATTAGGTTGACCTGCGAAGAGCAAATAACTGTGAAATAATGCTTACGAAAATAAAGATTCCTTTACCAGACATGCTTGTAAGTTTTGCTTTCAGTATCCATTCTGCTCATCATTTTGGCATTGTAACAATACGGTTAAGTGTTGTTTAGAGAGAATAAACATACAAGTTTGGTTTTTTGGTGTTTACATATCTCTATCTAACATTTTGCATAGTTAAATCTCTTTTCAATGAATGTTTACAGATTTGTACTAATCGAGACTATCAAATCTATTTCTTATCTTAGAGTGCAGTGCTAGCCTTGGATTCGTCAGCTCTGGACATCGACCAGGTTGAAAATCTCATCAAATTTTGTCCGACCAAGGAAGAGATGGAACTGTTGAGGGTAATTTCAAATTTTTTTTGTCATATTTCTCTCTAGCACCAGGTTCATAGGTTCTTTCTTGCTTGGAAAGCCTACTTTCTTTCCCTTCTGAAAGGTTTGGTTAATGTTTTTTCATAACCAGTAAGCTTGATCAGAATTCTGAACCAAAGAAATCCTGTTGATTTTATTCCTTTCATCACTTCCTTATTTCCTGATGCTAAATCATGCTGTTCTTGTTTTCAGAATTATACTGGTGACAAGGAAATGCTTGGAAAGTGTGAACAGGTTTGTCCAGTTCTTAAAGCGTTGGATGATACTTTTATATCATCTGTGCTCTGACTCTTACCCTTACAAATGTACCAGTTTTTCATGGAACTAATGAAGGTTCCACGTATAGAAGCAAAGTTACGAGTGTTTGGCTTTAAGATTACCTTTGCTTCTCAGGTAGAAAAGTTAGACTCTCTGAATTTGATCGCTCCTGTCTGCAGACATGTTGTAATCGATGTTTTTTTTTTTTGGTTCTTTTCAGGTGGAAGAGTTAAAAAGCTGCTTAAATACTATAAACGCTGCTAGTAAAGAGGTATAGTGGAGGGTGAGATTTTCTAAGTCATGGCAATATATCTCCTCCATCTTGGTAATTAAGTTTCATTATCATGTACCAGGTGAAGGAGTCTGCAAAGTTGCGTCAAATTATGCAAACAATTTTAACGTTGGGAAATGCTCTAAATCAGGGAACTGCGAGAGGTATCATGTTTTCCTATTGATTTCAAATTTCATGATTTTCTGAAAGCATCTGTTCCCAATGTACTGCCTTTGTGATGCAGGGTCTGCTGTGGGGTTCAAACTAGACAGTCTCCTTAAATTATCTGATACTCGTGCTAGAAATAACAAAATGACTTTGATGCATTACTTATGCAAGGTAGAAATAGACTCGCTCAATTTTCTAATCACTATTTCAAGAGCGCATCTTTGTGCTAGAAGTGCATCATACTGTTTATGCAGTTAGTTGCCTAAGGTGCTGTTTGAAAATGATCTTAATACCTTATTTCCTTTCTACTGTTTAGCTTGTTGGTGAAAAAATGCCAGAATTGTTGGATTTTGCTAATGACCTTGTTCACTTAGAAGCTGCTTCGAAGGTATGCTTGTTATTCATGGTTGCTTCTTTGAGCTTCCATCTTCTTCTTTATTGCAGCTGCCTTATTTGTTTCTGAAAATTGCAGATTGAATTGAAAACGTTGGCTGAAGAAATGCAAGCGGCGACTAAAGGCCTTGAGAAGGTTGAGCAAGAACTAATGGCTTCAGAAAATGATGGTGCAATTTCTTTGGGCTTCAGGAAGGTGAGCTACACGTGAAGGTGTGTTCTTAGTTTGCTCATATGGGTATTGGGAATGTGCATCTTGATTAATTCATTGGCAAATGATAAGAACTACAAAATCTTCGTAGCTGCTTCAAGTGAGATCGCTTTATGTTTTCAGGTCTTGAAGGAGTTTCTTGATATAGCTGATGAGGAAGTGAAGACGCTTGCTTCGTTATATTCAGAAGTGGTGAGTTATATATAACAGCTCATCGGTTACTTACACACTTTTGGGAGAAGCAATTCGAACTCATGTTCCAATCCTAATATTAACTGTAATTCACAGGGAAGAAATGCAGATTCTTTGTCTCACTACTTCGGTGAGGATCCAGCTCGATGTCCTTTCGAGCAAGGTACATGCACAAATCTCTTCTTCTAAATTGTCTAAAGCCATTCTGGGACAAATGCAACCATTCATTGATATTCTGACCAATGTTTCTATCTGCAGTGACCAAGATTCTGACTCTTTTCATGAAAACATTCATCAAATCTCGAGAGGAGAATGAAAAACAAGCCGAGGCTGAGAAGAAGAAACTGGAAAAAGAAGCTATAAAGGAGAAGTCAGCGACAAAGAAAGATGGCGCTGATAACGACAACGATCTTATCCAGCAGATCCATAGACATAGAACATGAACAAACATCGGTCTTAAACCGAAGACCCGAGGTTTTCAGATCGATAAAAGCTTTGTTTTATAGGACTCAATGTTGCACATACGGAACAAGAGCTGAGATCTTTCCTAGATCTTAGACAAAGTAGTCAACTTCTATGATGTTTAGATGGAAGTGTTTTATCTCTGATCTCTTCATTGATGTAAAAACTCAGAGGTTCGTGTTTATGTCCCAGTCCTAGAAATATTTGAACTTTTATAGAATCCAAAAGTTATATCATCTTCACTGTGCAGAGAAAAACATTTTTTTTTTCAAAGAATAATAAATCTTCACAATTTTTACTTGTCTGCACAACTAGTGCAGAGAAATAATCAGAAGCATTGGTCAAGTTCCAACAAATTCTACATTTGTTGTTCTAAAACAAGATTTTTGCTTCTTCATTTGAGTTTGTTTGTTTTCAGTTTTGCAAAGGTGAAGACTTAAGACAGAGCAGATGAAACTTCATCCCGGGAAGCTTCAATTGGAAGTATCGGTACGGGTGGTATGTCAAGAGGTTTTGTCCTCTTTGTTACTGTCAATCTCAATCCTTCTGTGGTATGTATTGTAGCTCCTGTAGTCATTTTTACCTGTCCATCCACAAAACGAATGTCGAGAAACGAATTAACCGTTAGTGATCTTTCAGTTTGCGTTTCAAGTTTTATCGTAGTTCAGTTTTGAAATATTTGTGTCGTATTGAGACTAAACATGAGAAGTTTTCTGTTGAATATACCGGAGGAGCTCCTGGTGCAGTCTGAAAGTCAAATCTTCGAATAAGCATTGCGATTGCGACCACATTCTACAGACAGAGATTTCTGTCACCACAAGAACATCTGAAGCATGTACTCATATGTAACAAGTATTGATGTAGATTAACTCTTTACCTCAAAGGAAGCAAACATGTCGCCTATACATTTCCGCGGTCCTCCACCGAAAGGTAAGTAACTGGAGAAGAAAAGTTCCCCGATATATAATCAAATCATAAAGACATGAGACGTGACAAGCAACAGGCTTTTACCTGAAGTTTTGGTTTGTCTCATTTGGGTTTGGTCCATCCAAAGGCCATCTCTCGGGATTAAACTTTTCCGCATCATCCCAATGAAGAGGACTTCGATGTAGATTCCAAACCGAGATGAAGATATCCTCTCCCCTGGTATATTTTCAAACACAATCTCTTATCAGAACTCAGAAGTTACAAACGAAAACCACAATGATGAAATTTCGTGACCTTTTTATGGGATACTGTCCAAGCATATCGTTCTCTAGAGAACGACGGATCAGTACTGGTGGTTGTGGATATAGTCTCAATGACTGCACAACATCAAAGTAAATAGGTAAATCCCAAAGAGTTTTTTCATCAACCAGTAGTAAATTCAATTGCCTTTTACCTCATTCATGACTCGAGTAGTGTATTTCAGCTTTTTCATATCTTCTATGGTTGGGAATCTATCTCCAATAACAGAATCAACCTAAATAGAATCAAACTGTTCTTTTAACATGTGAACGTTCTTGTAAGATAATTTACAAGAATGATGTATCTATACCTCTTCTTGGAGTTTGGCAACTACACTGGGTTCCTGCAACAACAACAAAAGTTATGAATTTTCTTTGGAAGCAAATTAACTGTTTGTTTAGGTTGATAATGTCCACTCTCTACCGTTGTTAAAAGGTAAAAGGTCCATGTTAATACTGCCGCCGATGTTTCATGTCCGGCTATAAGCATTGTCATCAAGTCATCACGGAGCTGCTTGCTAGAGACCTGGAACATATTGGGGAGAAACACATCATTTAAGATCCTTGAAGCTGATACCTATTAGACTATTGGATTCGAAAAAAGACAGACTATTACATCATCTCCTGAAGCCAAAAGAAAGTGAAGGATGCTAGGATCTCGTTCGTTCATATACTCCTCATGAAACTGCAACTCCTCTTCTTCTACCATTCTCTATAAAGACAAGAAAATGAAATCAGGATCCAAAGAGCATGAACAATTCTTGGACTTAACTCCAAAGTTATACCTTGCATGTGGCGATCAAATCATCAAGCGTGTCATTGATCAATTTCAGAGAAGTAGCAACTTTCCTCTGACGCGGGGAAATATCTTTCCAAATCGGTATGTCCCAAACAGGAATAGGTGAAACACTTCTGTCTTCAGCTTCTCTCAGAACAGTGTAAACTGCCTAACAAAGAGAACACAAGAAGCTTTCAATTTTTGCTGATCAACACATGGAAAACGCTAACAAAACTGAAGGCAGAGAGGGTAAGTCATGAGAGAACCTCGATCACACCGGTATCATTAGTTAGGGAGTCAAAGTCGTAATTGAAAACCGCCTTGCCAATAATATCAAGTGTCAAACGAGAGAAGAGTGATTCCATCTCTACTTCTTCCCCTTTCAATGCAGCAGCATCAAGCTTCTGGCAAAGCCTATCTGAAGCTTCTCCAAATAAGCTAATCATAGCTGCTACATACTATGAAACAGAGAAAATGTAAACAGTGACAATGTTTTCCAACTTCAAAGAATCATACTTTTAACTTTAGATTTATTTTCTTCTCTACAAATTGGTTACCTTTTGATGCAATGCAGGAACAATGGCACGTCTTCGTCTACGCCATATCTCCCCATCAGCCGGTATGAGTCCTTTTCCCATCACAAAATCTAGAATTTCAGCTAAAATTCCCTAAGATTTACAAGTAGATAATGATGTATAAGGAAAAGCACAAAACGAGACCATTCATAAGTAAATTGTTCATGCTACTATTAGTTATACCTTGGAGTAAGCTTTTGCATTGTCCTTCAATATATGCTTAGCAATAGAAGGATCCGACACGATCAAGAACGACTACAAAATGATTGGATTCTTTAACCAATACGTTTTCCTTTTAGTTAAGATATCAGAAGGTAAACAGGAAAACAAACCTTAGGCCCAAAGGTCAACCTGAAAATGCCACCATAAGTAAGGAAAAGCTCATACAAAGGGATAAAGAAAGCTTCGTTCCGGACCGCCTGAATCGAGCCTTTAGCCTCAGGAACCTTGAGGTAGTCTTCGTCAGAACCAGTCCAATCAAACATGAAATCAAGAACATTGCTTGGAATTCCCAACCTTAGATAAACCATTCTTCACTGTCGATAGAAAACTTATACACAAACCAAAACAAAAACACAAGAACCAAGAACCACAAGTCAAAATCACCACAGAGAATCAATGCTACATTAGGACAATCATCATCATCATCATCACTATCAATTTTTATACTCAGAATCAAGATAACACAATTACAGAATCAATGCCACATATGAAATTCACCTAGATTTTCGTACAGTGAAAGCTCCAGAAGCAATCCGAGCAGATAACTCAGCACGACGCTTTTCCTCTTGAACCTTCTCCAAGCTTTTCACGCCATCAGGAACTGAATTATTCTCAGAAGGATCTCTTCCATTAGAATTCGATGCGAAAACTACGAAGTTCGATCTCCGAGAGTACGTTACTGGTTTAACAGAAATCGGAGTATAGGAAAGAGGAAACGCCATAGCCGCCATAAGACGCCACCGCAAAATACTCAAATTACAGAGCTAAAAACAGAGAAAACCATAAAAGAAATTTTTTGAAATTGCAGTGTGTGAAGAAGAAGAAGAGAAGATGTGACGTGTGCATTTTACTAACGTATACGCATTATCTCTTTAAGAGGTGTCACTATTAATTACCTTTGCTAAGTACTTTTAGTACAAAATCTAAAGGATTTTATTTTGATTAATCACATTTATAAAGCAAATTTTGTGGCGTTAACTAGTGGATTTATTATCAGTGTCAATGGGCCCACAAACCAAACCGGACCTAATATTATTTCGGACAGAAGAACCGAACCGGCTTGGCTTTTGTAGCTTTGTTCATCTCCCTCTCTTCTCAAAAGTATAAAATTTCTTCGTTTTGAATTTTCTCCTCTTTAAGCTCTGCAAAAGAAAAATTTCCGATGAAAACTCTGGAATTAGCTTTACCTCCATCTCCACCGTCTTTAGTTCCTTCTTTCAACTACAATTCCGCCGCACGAAGCGTCGGAAATGACGTCAGAACCAACTTCGATGTTCAACTTTTTCTAAGGAAACCCAAACACCAAAAATCAGAACCCGTCGTCGTTATTCAACAACCTCAGATTCAACCGCAAAAACCAAGTCCTCGTTGTTCTACTTCTGATATTCTCAGACTAATGGATTCTCTTTCTTTACCTGGAAACGAAGATCTTTACTCGTGTCTTGCCAAAGAATCAGCCAGAGAAAACGATCGACGTGGAGCTTACGAGTTACAAGTGCATATCATGAAGTCCAGTATAAGAAGACCCACGACTACTTTTGTCAATCGTCTTCTCCTGATGCATGTATCGTGTGGACGTTTAGATATTACACGCCACATGTTCGATAAAATGCCTCACAGAGATTTTCACTCATGGGCAATTGTTTTCCTCGGTTGTATTGAAATGGGTGATTACGAAGACGCAGCTTTGCTCTTTGTTTCGATGTTGAAACATTCTCAGAATGGTGCTTTCAAGATTCCGTCTTGGATCATGGGATGCGTTTTGAAAGCTTGTGCCATGATTAGAGACTTTGAGTTAGGGAAACAGGTTCATGCCTTGTGTCATAAGCTAGGGTGTATAGACGAAGAAGATTCATATCTCTCGGGTTCTTTGATACGTTTCTACGGAGAATTCAGGTGTTTGGAAGACGCTAATCTCGTTTTACATCAGCTTTCTAATGCTAACACTGTTGCTTGGGCAGCGAAGGTTACTAACGATTACAGAGAAGGGGAGTTTCAAGAAGTAATCCGCGATTTCATCGAAATGGGTAACCACAGAATCAGGAAGAACGTCTCAGTGTTCTCTAATGTTCTAAAAGCATGCACATGGGTCAGTGACGGTGGGAGAAGCGGGAAACAAGTGCATGCAGTTGCTATAAAGCTCGGATTTGAGTCAGATTGTTTGATCCGATGTCGGTTAATTGAGATGTATGGGAAGTATGGGAAGGTGAAAGACGCGGAAAAGGTGTTCAAGAGTAGCAAGGACGAGACAAATGTTAATTGCTGGAACGCTATGGTCGCGGGTTATATGCAGAATGGGATTTATGTTGAAGCCATTAAGCTTCTCTGTCAGATGAAAGCAACTGGAATCAAAGCACAGGACACGCTTTTGAACGAAGCCCACTTTCAGTTATAACAAGTTAACATATAGATAAAGAAAATGATGAACCTGATATGTAAATATCTATAGATATAAGAAACGAGTATTTAGATGAAAAGATAAATTGATTG